CAATGCTAACATGCTTGCCAAATAATTCTTTACTTACTTATCAAGGGATCAACAATCATATTTTTTGATGGTAAATAACTCCACTTTTTTCAACAATCTTCTATGCATCTCAATGTGTTTACCTCTCAAGCTACTTGCTTCAATCCAAATCACTTTTATTGTTGTTTGATTATGGTGTTCCATCATATGTGACAATTATAATCCTTAGTATTTGTCACGTCTTTCAGGCTTTGACCAATAATTAACTAAACAAAGTTTTCTAACTTTGACTAACTTAATTTCGTACCTGAATATCATATTCGAATATGTGATACATAATGTGATTTTCATTCAAACTTTTATGTTCTACGCACTGATTATGGTATTTCATCATTTGAAACATTATGATCCTTAGTATTTATCACTTTTTTAAGATTTTTAGTCATTACATTAACTAAATAGAATTTTTTAACTTTAACAAACCTTAATTTTGTACCCGTATCCAATTATCTTAGGGTGAATGTAAGTGTGGTGGCAAAAAATAAGGTTTGGATTCAAAAAATGATTTGATTTTTGATTAGAATGGGTCATAATCATCATATAAATTGAATAAACACTTGTTTTTTTTATTTTATTTTATTAAATTAAATGAAATAAAGGCATGCTACCATATTTTGAATTATGAAATTGCTATTCTATCATTTGTTATTATAACAGATTATCATGCATATTTAATGTGAATGGAGGGAAGACATGTGAGCCACACGAATTATAAAACTATATTAATAACCTCAAGGGTAATAGAAATTAGTTGTAAATTCAAATGTTTCGAGTTTGAATTTTGGCAATTCCTTATTTAACCCTTAAAATAAGACCAGACCAACCATTTTTTTCGCTCTCATACGAAATTAATATATTATGATTTTAATTAATTAAAAAATTTGAATTTAAAGTGAACATAGAAACAATGAGAGACCCGTGGTTTGCAGTGTTTGCAATTGTGTACGCGTCCTCCCTTTGTCAGCATCTGTATGAAGTCTTCTCTAGTGGTGGTTCATTTTAACATGGAGGAATGAACATAGAATGTGGATGATGAAGGGGGTTACAGCATGTTTGTTCGGATGTTTTGATGTCTTGTTGAAGTCACTAGGCATAACAAAAGCAAATTTCAGGTTAACGAATAAAGCAGTTGAACAAGGAAAGCTCGAAAAGTACACCAAAGGAAAATTCGACTTCCAAGGGGCTGACATGTTCATGGTCCCCCTGAGATTATTAGTGACATTGAACTTGGTATGCTTTGTAGTTGGACTGAAAAGGGTGATGATTGAGATAGACTTTGAAGAGATGTTTGGACAGGTTTTCCTCTCCTCCCTCATTCTGTCTTTCAGCTATCCCATACTTGAAGACTTGATACCAAAAACAGTCAAATGAAAGCAGTGATCCATTGGAATTACTTTCCTTTGCTCTAAGGATTTGGAATTTGTTAAATTTCAATGGTCCATTGGTAACATTAGTCACAGTGAACATAGTTTAATTTGCTTTGTTGGTGGTGTAATATAAGAGTGCTGATCGAGCTTAACTGTTTTCTATTGGTTTTCCCATTGTTTTTCACTGTAGTTCTGTGTAGCCCTACTAGTGAATGGATGATACACTCAAACCTTTGAACTCTTTTGAGTTTTCCTAAGTTTTTTTTTTTGTTTTTGGGTAAGTAAGATCTTTGTGTTGATACTTTCCTTAAAATTATGTTTGTCATGGGAAAAAACAAAAGAAGTAACTTAAAAAAAAATGCCAACGCTTGTTTCTCTCTGAAAATATCAGAATATCACTCACTGACTCGAAGAACTTTAATACAAAATAGTCGCATCGCTGCAAATAGTATTAGGTGATACAAACATAAAAGAAGAAGTCAAACTTGATGAGAGACAAATGTCATCTCGTGGTGTGATAGAATAGCTATTTCGGTGAGAAAAAATCGATAATTCGGAGTTAACTTAGAGTTAACTCAGAAATATTTCGGACGACTCAATCCAATTGTGCGAGACTTGTGTCATTTGTTTGTAGTGTACTTTAGTCATGGTATAAACATATTGTAGAACATGGTATTACTGTTGAATGAAAAAGAAAAGTAGGAGATGAAGTAATTATTCCAAAGTCGATGCATTGGAAGAAAATACATAATTTACCTGAAAAATTGTTAAAGTTGATCCACAAAAAACAAGTAAATCGTATCTCCTCTACATTCACCTTCTTTGGCAGAGGGGAGGTGTCAAGGCCTCATAAGTCTTGCTATACTCACTAAGACTCATAAGAGTTCAATATAAAATTTTGTAACTTCTACTATTTTTCCGATATGAGATTGAATTTTTCTAAACAATGTAATTTTTCTATATCTTAAAAGATACTTTTCTTATTGTTAAAAAAACTTTAAAAATAGCCAGCAATTGAACTCGAGAGAATAGTCGGCGTAAACCTCAACACTATGTAGAAAAAAAAAAAAGAGCTCTAAAAATATACTTTTTATTTTTAGGGTAAATTACACTTAGACTCTAGAAACTATCCATTTTTTTCCACTTTGCTCCCTCAACTATCAAATTTTTCACATTGCACTTTTAATTAACATTTTTGTTTCACATTGCTCCAATCACAAACGTCTATTATCTTTTTGGACAAAAGTCGTTGATGTGTCGACATAAAGTAAAACAAAATTAAACAGTTTAGAGGGCAAAATAGAATAATTTTTTGTTAAATTGTAACAGACGTTAGTAAATGGGGCAATATGAAACTAATGACATAATTGAGAATATAATGTGAGAAATTTGGTAGTTGAGAGGACAAAGCGAAAAAAAAGGTGATAGTTTAAGAGTGGAAGTGTAATGTATCTGGAGTGCTTGCAGGATTTTTTATTAAAATACTATTAACACAATGATTTGCATAATGTACCCAATTGTCCTGACTTGGATTTAATTAGAACTTAGTTGTCACCAAGTTTGGTTTCAACTTTGAAAATCATAGTGAAAACGATATCGATCGAAGACTAGTTATTGCAAATGGACACTTGTACTCTTACGATGTATTTGTTTTGTGGATAATTAAATGAATGTCTTCGATAAAGACAATCAAAATATATAAAGAAGAGCCATTAGTTACCCTAGTTCAAAGTAACGATCAATATTGATACGAGCAAGGCCAGCTCATATGTGAAACCATTTAGACGGTTACTCACGGCCTCATTTGGGATGAGGCTCCATTTTTTAAATAAGTACTCAAGTAGTTATAAATGTTTTAATATTTTCTTTTTATTTTGCTTTGTTTAAGTATTATCTTTTTTATTTGGTTACAGAATAAAAAGTCTCATCTTTTAAAATATCTAAGATAACTTGTATTTTAGATACTATTTTATATATTTTCTATTTCACAAATTAAACAATTCATTCCATCTATCAGCTTATTACAAACCTTAATTAATTCAATTAATATTTTCATCACGAATCTATGATTCTCATATTTAATATTAACTTTCAAAATCATCTCGAAGTCAAATAAATAAATAAATAAATAAAATACAAATCTATCAATCACATCTTCTTGATAGTCTCTCCCTCCATATATCTCTCATTTTTTGTACACTTCAAAGATTTATTTTTTTGAACTCATATCTTTCTCAATTTAGGATCAATCATAACATTTTAGCATCGTTCTCAACACCTCTAAAGATTGTAACTAACTGCCCAAAAGGTTATAATTTGACCTTAGAAAGAGTACTTTGTAGTATTGATCTTAACTTTTTGGTTACAATTTCACCTAAGTAAAAATTGTAATTTAATGCATAAAAGTTCTATTTTTTTTGTAGACACCATTTTTGATAACATACTCTCACCCATTAGCAATACTCAAATAAAAAGGCTAAATTAGTAATTTTATATCTTGAAAAAAATTAAATAAAATTCTAATTACATTACTAGTATTTTAATATTAAATTTTCAAAAAGCCCTGCCTAAATTTTCTCTTGGAACCCTCATTTTTATTAGGCCCGCCTTGGATACGAGTTGGTCAAGTTGGATGATTCGATACTTTTTAAGGCGATACCGTTAGACAATACGTATAAACTTCAAGTCTCGCATGACTCGACCGAGCTGTTCGAGTTGTATCTTAGTCAATCTCGAGTCGTTGAGTTATTATCAACGAATGTGTTGATACAGTTCCACGATGTTGTGATAGAATTTGAATTTCTCGTCATATTCAACATTTTTTTTAGATAGTATCTTTTAATACTATGTCATGGCGTCGCGATTGATAAATTTCAAAACTCTCTAAATCGATGATTGATATTACGACCATAAAGCATGTTTCTTATCTTTTACCAATTCAAAAGTTCTACTGAACAGTTTAAATGTAAACTAACTAATAATTTGGAAGACTAAAGCGACATAATTACAAGAATAAAAATCAAAGTGAAAGGAAAGATACGTTACGGACTAGACATTTGTGTTCTATCAATTTTTTATTCCACTTTCTTGAACAATTGTTACGTTAGGGCGAGTACCTAAAATAATGAATTTGTCTGACTTAATGATTTTATAATTGATATGATCTACTAGTATTATAAGGATGTTGAAGGTAATTAATGTTACTTGGTTCTAATTTAAAGAAATCTAATTCATTAATAATAAATTAAGTCATTTAATTTACACCCAAATTAGATCTAAACGAAAAATGTTATTTTGACTTAATTTAAGACCTAATAAAATATAATTGTGAGATCAAAAATGAGTTTAATCAAATATTAAAATTTATAATTAATTCAATGATTAAATTCAATTAGTTCTCTATTAATATGTAAGAGAGAGAGATAGTAAGACAGTAATTTGCTTTTGTCACTTGGAAAAGGTCAGAAAGGTAAGGCTATTTTTTTGTATTAAACTATGCAACAATTAGGGCCATTTGATGCATTTAAAGGGCCTGCTTGGCCATCAATGTTAAGAAGACGAGACCCTTCTGGTTTGTGAAATCAAGGTCCAAAAATGGCTACTTTCTCTCTCCACACCTGCACAGTCAAGCAATCTCGTATGGTGACTAACAGACTCCACATGTTCTTCCACCTCACAGCCATATTAGCCCTACTCTACTACAGATTCTCTCACCTCTTTCATGGCGATGTGCCAGTTTTTGCATGGGGCCTTATTACCATTTCTGAGCTAATCTTCACTTTCCTATGGCTCCTCACACAACCATTCCGGTGGCGACCAGTAGTTTGGTCGGTTGACCCGGAAAAGCTCCCCAGCCACGAGGATTTTCCAGCGATAGACGTGCTTATATGCACCGCCGACCCTCAGAAGGAACCAGTGATCGAGGTGATGAATACAGTATTGTCAGCCATGGCGCTCGACTACCCGCCGGAAAAGATGGCGGTGTATCTTTCCGACGACGGCGGTGCTGCCGTGACACTGTATGCCATGAAAGAAACATGTTCCTTCGCAAGGGTTTGGCTTCCATTTTGTAGAAAATATGGAATCAAGACTAGGTCGCCTGAAGCATATTTTTCATCATTTGGTGACGATGATCGTCTTCTTCGGAGCGATGATTTCAATAGAGAGGAAGAAAAGATCAAGGTAAAAAGAATTTATGAATTTATTTGATCGGCCGGCAAGGTCCACCTAACTTATTTTGAATTAGTTTAATGAGAAAGTCCCAAAATGTTACAACTTAAAAAAAAAATGACATTTTAACGTTTTATGATTGATCATATTGTAATGTTATAATTTAATAGGCTGTAATGTTATAATTTAATAGGCTATTCGTCAAATTTATCGAGGGAAAATTTTAGCGGCATCCTTTCTAATTTACTATATCTTCAAAAATATTCTCTTTATTATTTAAAACATTATTTACACCCANATATTTTAGCGGCATCCCTTCTAATTTACTATATCTTCAAAAATATTTTCTTTATTATTTAAAACATTATTTACACCCATTTTAGTTTATAATTAAATCACAACGTATTATAATTCGAGTCGATTTGAGTTCAACCTGAGTTGTTAACGCTGATTAAAATTCAATTCGAGTCAATTANAAATTTTAGCGGCATCCTTTCTAATTTACTATATCTTCAAAAATATTCTCTTTATTATTTAAAACATTATTTACACCCATTTTAGTTTATAATTAAATCACAACGTATTATAATTCGAGTGGATTTGAGTTCAACCTGAGTTGTTAACGCTGATTAAAATTCAATTCGAGTCAATTAAAATTTATATTTTTTTACTTATTAAAATCTGTGTTAATTAAATTTTGATTCAAGTTGATTAAAATTCATTTTTTACGTATTAAAATTTGAGTCAATTAAAATTTATATTTTTTTATATATCAAAAATTAAGGCGATTAAAATTCAATGCAATTTAATTAAAGTTTGATTCAAGTTGATTAAAAACGCATTTTATTCGGCTCGAATTGACNAGAATTTGAGTCAATTAAAATTTATATTTTTTATATATCAAAAATTAAGGCGATTAAAATTCAATGCAAGTTAATTAAAGTTTGATTCAAGTTGATTAAAAACGCATTTTATTCGGCTCGAATTGACATTTTGGTTCACCCGAATTTTAATACAAAGAAAAAATTAAAAAATAGAGGAGTTTCATTGAAGATATGTCTAATTTAGAGGGGGTGTGTATAAAGTTTTTTCTAAAATATTGAGGGCAATTTAGTAAAGTGTTGTTATAGTTAAAGTCTTTAATTTAATAGGGGTGTCAATGAAGATTTAAAAATTAGAGGAGATTTATTTAAAGATATGATAAACTAGAGGATATGTAACTGAAAATTTTCCCTTCTTGTGGACATCAGTTGTTGTCCTAAACAATTTGTTTTTTTTTTAGTAAACTAATTACTACAAAAAAATTGTGATTGTATATAATAACTGACAAATAATCTAAAATTCACTATTTTAANAAGATTTAAAAATTAGAGGAGATTTATTTAAAGATATGATAAACTAGAGGATATGTAACTGAAAATTTTCCCTTCTTATGGACATCAGTTGTTGTCCTAAACAATTTGTTTTTTTTTTAGTAAACTAATTACTACCAAAAAATTGTGATTGTATATAATAACTGACAAATAATCTAAAATTCACTATTTTAATAATTTTTTAAATTTAGACTATAATTCAAATTATTTATCCGATTGTTTTTTTGCTAGATTTTCAATAAACCATATATAGTGATTTCATTTTTTTTTATTTTGCATTTATATAGTAAATGCCAAAAAGCTGAAAAAAAATATTTNTTAATAAACCATATATAGCGATTTCATTTTTTTTTTATTTTGCATTTATATAGTAAATGCCAAAAAGCTGAAAAAAAATATTTCTTGCAGCTATTTTTTTAAAAAATAAAAAATTTGATTTTTGGAAATATTATTTTTTGCATTTAAACAAAAATAATTATTCCGAAAAGATGAAACAATAAAAAAAAAGTTGATTCAAGGCAACATCAATACTGTGGTTAAGTCTAGGATACTCACATAGAAAATTGTGTATACTATATAGGAAAAAAGAATTCTAGCCGTAGATTTTGTATAGGTTTATTTATGATAGTTGATTTTGAAAATATTAAAATAACAAAATGTAAAAATTTAGACGTGTCACATTTTAATAGATGAAAAATAAATTATCAATACTATAATAATATCATTAGTCATAATAAAAAAATTTATTCCTAGTATGAAATGATGGTTAGCTAATGTTATCATTTATTATAGTCGACTTATCAAATTTTCAAGAGAAGTGTGGAGAATTGCGGGTTGGATGATTCTGTTGTGCACGATCGGCCCCCTTATATTGAGGTACGTAATGAGATCCTNTGGTTAGCTAATGTTATCATTTATTATAGTCGACTTATCAAATTTTCAAGAGAAGTGTGGAGAATTGCGGGTTTGATGATTCTGTTGTGCACGATCGGCCCCCTTATATTGAGGTACGTAATGAGATCCTTATTGGTTTGAATTTTTATAATTGCATAAAATACAAAAGAGATGTTTTCTGAAAGAATCCAAATCCTTTCCATTTCCAATTTATCAATTTCAATCAAATTTAGTCATGTACCATATTATATTCTGAATTTAGCAATAAAAACTCAACTAAGTATAACAACACATTATGNTGTTTTCTGAAAGAATCCAAATCCTTTCCATTTCCAATTTATCAATTTCAATCAAATTTAGTCATGTACAATATTATATTCTGAATTTAGCAATAAAAACTCAACTAAGTATAACAACACATTATGAAACTTGGCCCAATTTCTGACTCAGATGCCTCCTTACAAAGACCATCCTATTTCCATATGGGTTTGTTCTAAATTCTTTAAAATAATTTGCCAAATGTTATTGTCTAATTACATGAAATGGCATGAAGAAAATTTTATGTCATGAGGCCTGGTGATTATTTATTTCAGTAATGGTATGTTTATGAAGTTTTGTGATACTATCTCTATCATTTAATATTAACGGGATCTATTTATTTGATGGTGAAAACCTTGTCATATCACATGAGATGAAAAACTTGAAAAGAAATNTCCATATCAAGTGATGTGATACTATCTCTATCATTTAATATTAACGGGATCTATTTATTTGATGGTGAAAACCTTGTCATATCACATGAGATGAAAAACTTGAAAAGAAATCTTAGTTAGTATAATAGTATTGATCAAGCAAGTTCAAATATGATATGGTGATGATTATCCTTCAAGGTTCGTGAAATATCTTTTGCAATAGAATTATTAGTTATGAGTAGTAATGAATTAACTTTGACAACATACTAATCACAACTTTTCATTTGTTTTCCTTGGCCTAGCAAGGATGTTATACTCATTTTTTCATTAGCAATAACCATCTCTAATAACAAGTGGATTTTTTATAATCACCCCCATTATGTAATTATTTCAACCACTGATTTAAAGGAAAAGAAGAAGTTAACCGATTTGTGTCACAGGTTATACATGATACTAATAAGCATGAAGTGAATGAAGATAGCCACACTAAGATGCCTTTGCTCGTATATGTATCTCGTGAGAAAAGACCATTCCACTCTCATCGTTTCAAGGCTGGCGCCCTAAATGCTCTTGTATGCTCTCTCTCTCCCTCTCCCTCTCTTTCTCTCACACACACCCCTATGTTTTACATATATACGATAGGTTTGATTAAAAAACATAATTTGAAATTTATTTACTAAACTATCATTATTTTTATAAAACTGTATATCTGAAATACTACACTAAAATCTTGTTTTAAAAGTACAGTCTCAAAGTTTTTTTTATTGAAAATATGTCATAAAAACAACGATAGTTTAATAAATAAGATTGAAACTACATTACTTTGATAAAAAGGTCACAAAGACACGGTTTTAGGAGAATCGATTGAGATTCCACATTACTGTTGTGATATTTTTGTTGCAGCTTCGAGTTTCCGGAATAATGAGCAATGCCCCCTACATACTAGTCCTAGATTGCGACATGTATTGCAATGACCCTACTTCAGCTCGACAAGCAATGTGTTTCCATCTTGATCCAAAGATGTCTCCTTTACTGTCTTATGTACAGTACCCCCAGATTTTCTACAATGTTAGTAAGAACGATATCTATGATGGCCAATCAAGATCAGCTTACAAGGTGATCAAACTCGAACCAATTGCTACTTCTTGAATTCACACCGCCATTTAAGACAATCCAACTTTCTGGAGGTTCAAGTTTTGATTAATAAGAAAATTGTCGATACTTTGATCCATTTTTTCAGACAAAATATCAAGGTATGGATGGGCTAGGAGGCACAGTGTGTGCAGGCACGGGTTATTATATGAAGAAAAAGACATTATATTGTAGTCCTAATCATGAAGGTATGTTTATTATTTTGAGAACTGATTTATTTGAACATTACCGAATATATTAGTTAACATCGTCGTCTTCATCATCATTGTTTTCTTCTTCGTCTTGGAGGGTTTTATCAGATGCGTTTCTTTGCGAGTCACAAAAGTATTTTGGTTCATCGAACAAGTTCATTGATTCAATAAAGGTTAGTAATGAACAAGATATCAGAGGAAGTGGAATTATATCAGATGAAGTTTTAGAAGAGGCAAGAACTCTAGCTACGTGCACGTTTGAAGAGAACACGAAATGGGGTAAAGAGGCAAGTATATACATTCTATCATACAGTTAATACTAACAGACTGTTTTGCTGCTTGGATGAGGTTTTAATGTCATGCTGTTTATATGTCAGATTGGTTATTCTTATCAATGTCTATTGGAGAGTACATTCACAGGGTATCTTTTGCACTGCAAAGGGTGGCGATCGGTGTATCTTTACCCAAAAAGGCCATGTTTCTTGGGTTGCACCACCATTGACATGAAAGACGCCGCGGTTCAGCTCATGAAATGGTCCTCTGAATTGATCCTAGTTGGTTTCTCAAGGTTTAGCCCCCTAACATATGGGATCTCAAGAATGCCCATTCTCAAAAGCTTGTGCTATGCATATTTCACATATAGCCATCTTTTCTCTGTGGCATGCCTCTTATATGGAACCATTCCTCAGTTGTGTTTTTTGATTGGCATCCCTATGTACCCCAAGGTAAATTCTTTTCCATTTCTCCACCTTTTTTTTTTGTCTTTCTTATGATATTTTATCATTGGTGATAATTGTGTATGCATTACTATGGGATCTCAATCATATCTCATGGTCTATACTCCTTATGAACCAAAAGGAAAAATACGTAATAAGCACTTAAAGTATGCGCTCCGTGTTACTATATGATCATTATTTTTTCAATGAGTAATACTATTTAAATCTAAAAATTTGACTTAATTTGCTGACATAATGATGTGACTTCAGCAGAACCATTATATTAACACCAAGTTCCAATGTTTGATGGACCCCACAATCAATCTAAAGGTCATAGCGAATTAGGTCAACAAATTAAGTCAATAAATTAAATCTCAATAACATTGCTCCTTTTCAATTGTGTCCCTTCTCAATCAATTGGTGTTTTAATGGTCTGATCCATGATGGGCATTCAAATTGATAATGATAAATATGTGTGGAATTTTGTGTTCGTCCGGGCAGAGGCGCAACTAAGTCCTCCTGAGACTTGGTGGAGGGTTTAACCAACCCAACCGGTGGGTGTTTGTTGTTGAGCTAGTCGAATGAAAGAAGTTGTGTTTTTTTACTAATACTTGCGGGTTTTAATGCAACGGTAAGTGTTTCGATCCAACAATTAGTATCAGAACGAGGTCATGGGTTCGAGTCCCATAGTAGTTACCCGGAGGAGAGATTGTTGGCCTAGGTAGAGGTGCAACAAGTCTCCTTGAGACTAGGTGGAGGATTTAATCAACCTGACCCGTGACCGTTTATTGTTGATCTAGTTAAAAAAAAGAAGTTATGCCTGCACTAACACCTGCAGGCTGTGGTGCAATGGCAAGCGCTTCAATCCAACATTTTGGTCCTTCAAATAAGCATAAAATGTCATTTTGATTTTTGAATTACCAATTTTACCAAAATATGCATTGTAGAGGTGTAATTGATAAAATAAGTAATTGAGGGACGAAAGTGATTTTTTTTTAATGCTTCAGGGACCAGAAAACTATTTGGTCATTAATTGGACCATTTAAACATAAATTACAAAATTTAAGAACTAAAATCACACAATTAGAAAACTGGGGACTAAACTGAGATAGACTGCATGCTTTAAGGGCTACAAATGTATTTAATTGAAACTAAAATCTAGGACTGGGACAGAAATTTATGAAATGATTTTGTTCTACCCCTTGATATGTCTATATTTTGCCAAAGTCAAGCTTGCACAAGAGCTTACCAGACTCCGAATTTCAACATGATTTGATACCAATTGTTGTTTTCAGGTCTCAAACCCATGGTTTGCAGTGTTTGGAACTGTGTATGTATCATCTCTTTTCCAGCATTTGTATGAAGTCCTCTCCAGTGGCGGTTCAATTCGGACATGGTGGAATGAACAGAGAATGTGGATGATAAGAACAGTTACAGCATGCTTGTTTGGATGCCTTGATGCCCTTTTGAAGCGGATCGGCATAGTGAAATCAAGGTTCAGATTGACAAATAAAGCCATTGATCAAGGAAAACTCGAAAAATACGAGAAGGGTAAGTTTGATTTCCAAGGAGCCAAGATGTTCATGATCCCCTTAACATTTTTGGTCATATTGAATATGGTTTGCTTCATCGTCGGATCGAAAAGGATGATTACTGAGGGAAACAGTGAAGACATGTTTGGACAGTTTTTTCTCTCTTCCTTCATTTTAGTTCTCAGTTATCCAATAGTAGAAGGGCTAATACCAAAGAAAAGCAAGTGAAAGCCTTCGAAACCATACTTTTCTTTGCAATGACTTGTGCAATGGAGCTCCTTTTTCCATTGACACATTTCTTATTGTGAGTTGAAGGTTATAAACTTCCCTTGAAATTATGTATTCTCAAGTTTCATAAGATATGAATGCGACTGTTTGGCCACTTATAGATGCAAGCCATTTAAGGCAATATCATTGTGAATTTTAAAACAAAGAATTACCTTCTTGAAGTATTATGTATTCGTTGTATAATAATATGCACATCAACTCGATCCTCGAGGCTTGTCGATAGACCATACCATATCATATTTTTAAACGTATAAGTTGTTTTGTGTGAATATTTATTCAACACATATCCCATTATATTTGAGTATAACCAATTTACTGTCGTGTGTAAATGTGTTTTAACACACTAAGAGACAAATTATGACAAGATGCAATATAAGTTTTAAAATTGTAAGGGTACTATCTACGTTCTTGGAAAACCTAAAGGGGTGAGTAAAATTTACCCCTTTTTTTTCTTCATTTCTTCGTTAAACAAGAATTTTTTAGCATTTTATTAGTTTTTAGGGTGTGCCGTACATGACTACCTATCTAGGTCATTGCAAAAAAGAGGAAAATAGGGGGGGGGGGGGGGGGGGNAAGAGAAAATCAGACAATTAAGGTATGGTTGATTCGAAATTGGGGTGGAGTTCAAAGAAGCAAGGAGATATGGTTTTAACTGAGGATGGAAAGGTAGGAGAGGGAAAAAAAGCAAAGCAGATTCTATGGAATAAGCTTTTTGACGTGGTTGAAGTTGATGGGTTGGTAAGATAAGGGAGTCTGGGGATTGAATTTGGGTGAAGAAGACTGTGAGGGAAGGATAGTGGTTTTGTGGGTAGGAGGTACCCGATATGGTGAACATGACAATAGGGTAATATCAATCAACCAGTTTGGTGGGTTTGTCTCTCAGTACCCTAAGGTCCATGTGCACTCTTTACAACCAAGTCCAATTTTATGTGAACTGAGAAATGGATACTACTAGATTGCCTAAAAAAGTGAGACCAAAAAAGAGGAACCGAATGATAGAGTGCTGACATCGTGGTACTTTAATTTCTACTTTTTTTCATTTAAAATTTAAAAAGTTTTGTTCTCTATGTCAACACCATATTTGTTGGTCATTTTTCTGTTTCAACTTTTGGGTCATCCCCCGAGAAATATCTGCTCAAGCTTGTCTAGGCTCAAACATTCAAAGGTCGACCTAGATGGAATGAACCAAGTATGATACAATGAAAATCTTCAAATATACAAATACATGCAATTTAGGTCAATCTTGGTACATCCAATTCTGTGATTGTGATTCAATATCCACTCCAGCTACCAAAAGTATGGAAATTCCAGTTCATCTAGTTAATAGACACACAAAAAGAAGAAACAATACAAACACAAGTGAAGACGGAAAGACAAAGAGACACCATTGAGAATAGCATAACTCAGAGGCACTACTCACCAGAGAGATCTAACTTCAGAAACTCCACTTCCATCTCCAGTTCAGAGTTCTTCTTCTTCTCACTTTCCAGCTCCATTCTCAAGTTTGCAATTATTTGCATCAATTGCTCTTCTCTGCTCAACTCTACCCACTCTTTCCCTTGTAACAAAGCTATCAAATCCATCACCTTTTGCCTCTGATCTTCCAAACTTGTCTTCAAAAACAATAGACTCCTCATCATCCCTTCCCTATCCCCTCCACCACCCCGAAGGGCAGCAGTTGGAACAACGGTGATCTCATCTTCACCTACCAAACAACCCTCTTTGTGTTGCTCATTTTCCAAATCCTCCCTCCCTTGGCCAACAACTAGGGTGCCACCCACTGCTTCTTCAGGTGAACTCGAATTCCATACATCTGAGTCGCCTCCCTTGTCTGGAATAATCATTTCATCGCCAAAGCAAACTTGTTTCACAATTTTATCATCCTCTCTCTCAATTGGAAATACAGGGTGCAATTCAAAATCATGAATGTTAAAGTTCCACCCACTAATCCTCCTTTGTTTCATATTGTCTCCCAAAAATAACCCTTCTTCATCTTCATCTTCATCATCAGTTTTGTTCATTGATGCAAGTCGTTGAAGCTTTGTTCCTCTGAACCTTTTTTCTACAGTGGGCAAATCTTGCAATACATTCTTGACCAAAAAATCAGAACCTTTACAATTCTTGAAAAATGAATGCTTGAGCAATTTATTTGCTGAAGGCCTCTTGGATGGATCTTGATCAAGACATAGTCCCACCATGTCCTTGAAAGCCTTGGAATACTTCTTATTCTTGCTATTTTTGGTCTTCTCGTAATCAGAAAATCGAAAATGCTTAGTGAACTTCATGATCAAAGACTTTGAAGGTGGAAGGTGGGATAGAGGTGGCCTTCCATGGGCTAGTTCTAGTGCAGTGATGCCAAAAGACCATATATCAGCCTTGAAACTGTATCCAGTATGAGAGTGAATCACCTCCGGAGCCATCCAATATGGTGTTCCGGCAATATCAGTGAGCATCAAAGATGATGAAGATGAAGAGGCTGCCAATCCATGGCATGAACTTGACTCGTAAATCGAAGCTGATACACCAAAGTCTGCAAGCTTCACTGTACCACTTGAGTCTATGAGAATGTTACCAGCTTTAACATCTCTATGAAGGTGGCCTTGATCATGAAGATATGACAAAGCACTTAGAATTTCTTTGAGAACTATGGCAATGCATGGCTCAGACAAGCCATCAGGGAAAGATGAAGCAATTATGGACTGTAGAGAACCAGCGGACATGAATGGCATTACCACCCAAAGACGACGATCAACCATGAAAGAACAATGGGCCTTGAGAATATTGGGATGAGAGAGAAGGGACATGGTCTTGGCTTCACGTCGAACATTGTCCAAATCAGCTCGAGATTGATCTAAATCAATAGCTTTGATTGCCACTACAGAAGAGTTGATGGGTGGACATATTGCTTTGTAAACGATGGCACTTACACCTTGGCCGATCTCATCAAGAATTTTGTAGCAGTTTGAGTCTAGAGGGTATTGAACCTTTCTTGGTTCTTCTTCTTCATGGGCCATGGATGTATCTGTTTCTTGAGAAGGGAACTTTTTTGGGTATCTAATTGGTTTTCTTCAAGAAGAAGAAAGAACAAGTGGATATAAAAGGAAAAGGGTTACTCGGTTTTCTTGTGAAAATTAAAAGAGAAAGCTATAGGAGAGCAGGCCGCAGCGGTGATGTCCATATCACTCCCTCTGAGAATGAGTTGATGCATGTGAGTTTCAACTTTCAACTGCTTATATGTATATATATATATATAGAGAGAGAGAGAGAGAGAGATGACAGTTATGTTTTGGAGCACTAAATTATATGGAGATTAGGACCCATCACATAAAGGCGTAAGATATGGATTCTAGTGTGCTCTAGTTATTCATTTAGAAGCACTGCCTTGAATTTTTTTGGGTGGTTGTTATTTTATATGGTTCTTTTTTACTCATAAAAAGCCCGATACTCAAAATCAAATTCATGCTATATATTTCGTTAAAAAGTACATCTAATGTCAACAAAAGCTCAAAACTCGGATATGTATTCCAAACCAAGTGGTAATTTGGACACATTTTTAGTAATGTAACTTATGTTTGAAGGAATTCAATTTTGACTAAAGGTCTTAGATTATTTCATTTTCTTCTGACCCGCTAGAGATTTTTAACTTTGAGGCTTACTAATCTTTTATAAATATGGGAAAGAATTTATGTTACCATTTTGAAGAAAAAATTAATTAAGTTACCAGTATATGAAAACCCAAGACAAATAGAATCATATACAACAAGAGAGAAGAAAAAAGGTAATCTCAAAATGACAAATTAGGTGATTTCATTTTTGCTTTATAGTTCACTAACCAAAAGGTCTCAATATTAACCTCAACTTCACTTTATTTTGGATATTAATCTTTATAGAATACACGTCAAGGAAAAATATTCAAAAAATCATCAATAAAATGTGGGAAAAAAGAAAAGGAAAGAAAATATAAATTTGTGTATCAACTTATCGACCACTAGCAATAGTCAGCATTATCACTTTTTCAAGTTCAATGGTCAATGTGATGAGGTGGGTGACTTAATGCAATGTTGTTTTGGCCTATAGTAAGTTCATTAAAAAGCCGTTTGAATTTATATGCATTTGTTATTAATGTAGATAAAATCGCAATTAATGGTTGTTTGACCTGAGAATTTTCAACATGAATTCTTATCCTTTTTCTCTTAACTTACTAGAAATGAAAATCATAACGGGATATTTTGAGTTTAAAATTTAACAATTTTTTAAGAGTTATATCAAAGAAAATTTATCCTTCATGAGTTTTGTGGTCTTGACGTGAATGTTCTATCTTTGACCGAATTGAATAATAGATTAATCGAGATACGTGTAAACTAGCCTGAACATCTTCAATAGTAATAACAAAAAAAAATACAATTTTTGATTTTTTTTCCATCTATGTTGATATTGAATCATGTGAAAATATATTAATTTGCTTATTCTTATATTTGTATCAAGGGTATTTCATCTAACTCTCGCTATTTTTTGTTTGCATTCAAAGGTCTTGTGCATGCGCTATCGAGTCACGTGCTTCACTTCTAAAGAATGACTCGATAGATAGGTTAAAGGAATGAACGTGGCTGGCAGCAGTGTATAGCTATATATAAGGTGCGAAGCTAACACACACCGGTTAATGGAGGGCGAGATTACATTCACTTGCTTTGTGGCGTAATAAGTTAAGTAATATTTATTTTAAATAGTTTACTTCTCTGTTTTTAGGCTAGTACTTTTTTTTTAGGAATAGTCTAAAAGTGGAAGCATAGGAGTTAGCAGAGTGCAATTCAAGTGAGAAAAAAAACAACTTCTCCCTTGGTACTCTTGGTTAGATATGCACAATTCAAACCAATTCGATTTCAACCAGGTTTTTTACCATGGAGAGCAAGAATTCGATGAAATCCTACAGTGAATGGGCCACCTTAATTTACCCCCGTTTTCTGCAATTCTTTCCTCAAGGCCCAGAGGATTTCAAAACTTTGGATTTAGCTTTCTTTGAGGTGGAGGCTTCATCGTATAACTCCTCATATATGATGTTAGTCAAACTAAAGTTAAGAACATAACAATGAATGGAGAGGGAACTTAGTAGAGCTCCCCAAGTCCAATGGCTATTAAAATAAAAAGCAAGGGTGTAAGGGGAAGCGAATCTGAAAAGATTGCCTTAGTTCATATTGTTCTTGTGAATTTGAAGTTCGACTCACNAAGCGAATCTGAAAAGATTGTCTTAGTTCATATTGTTCTTGTGAATTTGAAGTTCGACTCACTAGTAATCGTGGATCAGCATGCAGAGGTGAATATGTCTATTGCAACAATAGTTCAGAGGGGAACAACCTCTTCNATGTTTGAAGGAATTCAATTTTGACTAAAGGTCTTAGATTATTTCATTTTCTTCTGACCCGCTAGAGATTTTTAACTTTGAGGCTTACTAATCTTTTATAAATATGGGAAAGAATTTATGTTACCATTTTGAAGAAAAAATTAATTAAGTTACCAGTATATGAAAACCCAAGACAAATAGAATCATATACAACAAGAGAGAAGAAAAAAGGTAATCTCAAAATGACAAATTAGGTGATTTCATTTTTGCTTTATAGTTCACTAACCAAAAGGTCTCAATACTAACCTCAACTTCACTTTATTTTGGATATTAATCTTTATAGAATACACGTCAAGGAAAAATATTCAAAAAATCATCAATAAAATGTGGGGAAAAAGAAAAGGAAAGAAAATATAAATTTGTGTATCAACTTATCGACCACTAGCAATAGTCAGCATTATCACTTTTTCAAGTTCAATGGTCAATGTGATGAGGTGGGTGACTTAATGCAATGTTGTTTTGGCCTATAGTAAGTTCATTAAAAAGCCGTTTGAATTTATATGCATTTGTTATTAATGTAGATAAAATCGCAATTAATGGTTGTTTGACCTGAGAATTTTCAACATGAATTCTTATCCTTTTTCTCTTAACTTACTAGAAATGAAAATCATAACGGGATATTTTGAGTTTAAAATTTAACAATTTTTTAAGAGTTATATCAAAGAAAATTTATCCTTCATGAGTTTTGTGGTCTTGACGTGAATGTTCTATCTTTGACCGAATTGAATAATAGATTAATCGAGATACGTGTAAACTAGCCTGAACATCTTCAATAGTAATAACAAAAAAAAATACAATTTTTGATTTTTTTTCCATCTATGTTGATATTGAATCATGTGAAAATATATTAATTTGCTTATTCTTATATTTGTATCAAGGGTATTTCATCTAACTCTCGCTATTTTTTGTTTGCATTCAAAGGTCTTGTGCATGCGCTATCGAGTCACGTGCTTCACTTCTAAAGAATGACTCGATAGATAGGTTAAAGGAATGAACGTGGCTGGCAGCAGTGTATAGCTATATATAAGGTGCGAAGCTAACACACACCGGTTAATGGAGGGCGAGATTACATTCACTTGCTTTGTGGCGTAATAAGTTAAGTAATATTTATTTTAAATAGTTTACTTCTCTGTTTTTAGGCTAGTACTTTTTTTTTAGGAATAGTCTAAAAGTGGAAGCATAGGAGTTAGCAGAGTGCAATTCAAGTGAGAAAAAAAACAACTTCTCCCTTGGTACTCTTGGTTAGATATGCACAATTCAAACCAATTCGATTTCAACCAGGTTTTTTACCATGGAGAGCAAGAATTCGATGAAATCCTACAGTGAATGGGCCACCTTAATTTACCCCCGTTTTCTGCAATTCTTTCCTCAAGGCCCAGAGGATTTCAAAACTTTGGATTTAGCTTTCTTTGAGGTGGAGGCTTCATCGTATAACTCCTCATATATGATGTTAGTCAAACTAAAGTTAAGAACATAACAATGAATGGAGAGGGAACTTAGTAGAGCTCCCCAAGTCCAATGGCTATTAAAATAAAAAGCAAGGGTGTAAGGGGAAGCGAATCTGAAAAGATTGTCTTAGTTCATATTGTTCTTGTGAATTTGAAGTTCGACTCACTAGTAATCGTGGATCAGCATGCAGAGGTGAATATGTCTATTGCAACAATAGTTCAGAGGGGAACAACCTCTTCTGGTAAACAATAAGTTATGGATTCAGATATAATGCTCGTACTTATATTTATACTTATTTTGGGAGGAGGCCCTTTTTTGGACATATACTTGATTGGGATGACAATAAAATGACTCCATTTATGCCTTTTGCAAGGCTTACCCCTTTCATACTGCATGCCACTAGAACTAATTGATATAATTCATTCTAATAGAGGGTGACTATTCCATTACAGATTGATGAACTTACTTATTTTTTTTTACTAATTCAAGGTTTTAAGACTGACGGTTCAATAATCGAGCAAAGATAAACAATAATATCTCTACCCGCAATACCAAAAAAAGAAAACCCATAATGACAAAAAAATGCTGCTTATAATTATATTAAAATTCATAATAACTTTAAAAGTAATTATTCAATATTATTAATCTAGAAATTATTTTTGTCTCATAAATAACTTTATACATTGATTATGCTATCTTAGTAAGCTAGCCACATCTTCTATTACCTCATAAATGGGTAAGGTACGCTAATTTGCGCATGGGCCGGAAAGCCATAAAAATTTGATAGCCCAATTAGGCCGAGATATGGACCATTTTATCTAGCCCAAGACCACTTTAAACCCAGGCCCAAGCCAGGAACCGTGCCCTCAAAATTTCTTGAGTGGACACATTTTTATCCCAGTCCTGTCCATTATGAAAATCTGTTCAACAAACCATAACCTATTTTGGGCTGGGCCATTCTCAACTACTTAGTAATTTTTTTTAAGTAAATAGCAATTTCGTGAAAAAAAGAAGTATGGTAGAAAACTGTTTTGTAATACTGGTTTATGTGCATGTCCATATTACAACATATGCCATTAAATTAGGTGAAAGGCAGCAAATTCAAACAAGAAGCAAAACATTTAGAACTCTCAATTAATTTTGGATACAGACTAATTATCCCTTAATACGTTATGTTGATACCATT